GTATGTGTATAACCAAATCAATATGCTATACACCAGAAATTAACACAACATTGTAAACCTACTATACCTCAATTTTTAAAAAAGATATTCATTGGGAGTTCAAAATTTGTAGATACTATATATAAAATAAGCAACTTGTTTCTACTGTACAGCACAGGGAACTCTAGTCACTATCTTGTGGTAACATATAATGAAAAGGTATGAAAATGAATATATGTATGTATATGTATGACTGAAACATGCTGTACACCAGAAATTGACACACTGTAACTGACTATAGTTCAATTAAAAAAAAAAAGCCACTCAGAAGGTGATGTAGTTTGAAGTCACCTCTCTTGTGAGAAATGAAACAAAAAGAGAATGAGTCCTACAGAAGGCAGTGTCACAATCAGTAACCACAGGTGGCTGTTGAGACCTTAAAATGTGTCTGGTCCAATTGAGCTCAAAATGCAGATACACACTGGATTACAAAGTAGCATATTTTTAAAAGTAAATTATCTCATCAATATTTATATTAATTACATGTTGAAATGATTACATCTTGGATATACTGGGTTAAATAAAATATGCTAATAAAGTTAACTTTGCCTGTTTTTTTTTTAACTTTCTTTAAGTTTGCTACTAAAAACTTTTTCATTATATAAAATTACATACGTCACTCACATTCTATTTCTAGCTCTGTACTAGACGGTCTTTATAAAATATGTTGGTTTTGAGATGTTGAGACAGCAGAGAAAGGGGACAAAATCATCCTCCACCCTAGACAGGCATTGCTGGCTTATCCAAGTTGTCTCAAATTGGCGTCAGTGGTCCTAATGGGCTGGTCAGACCTTAAGTTATTCTCTTAACTTTGATCAGGCATATTATGAAACCAGAGGCCAAGCAGAAAAAATAACACTTAAAAGACATTTTAAAACATTGTAAAAACAGGAAGAAATAATTTCACTACTACTCAGCAAAATCATGGAAGCTCACAATTCACACTTCTGAACGTATTTCTAACATCTGAGACTACGCTTACTGAAGCAAAATAAAGAGGAAAGTGGAGTGATTCTTCCACAAACATCACCAAAGAAAAGGGTGGGCTTACACAAATCTCAGTGGCTGCATTTTTCTCTAATTTCTGCTTCCTTTCCAAGCTCAGGCAACCTAAAGTTTCTAATAATCAACAGACTACTCTAGCTGGGGCAATTAAAACACTAATGCTTGTGTATACCAGGAGTGTGAAAAGTTTGGCCCAAAGACCCCTCAGGCCCCCAAGACCCTTTGGGAGGGGATGCTCACAAAGTTAAAACTTTTTTCCCAATTACACTAAAATGCTGTCTTTTCCTTTTTCATTCATATTCTTTCCCAAGTGTGCAGCAGAGTTTTAAAAAAACTTTATTGTGGTATAATTTTTGTACAGTAAACTACACATATTTCAGATGTACAATTTGATGAATTTTGATACATGTGTACACCCATGAAACCACCACCACAAACTAGACAGCTAACACTTCCATCGCTCCCCAAGAGATGCAATTTTTGAACTACAAATTTATCCCTTCCCACCCCTTCTACCCCTTGGTAACCATAAGTTTGTTCTCTATGTCTGTGTACAGTAGTTTTTAAGAGGTCACAAAGCAAGCGATATCACAACAGACTCAATACAGAAGCAGATATACCAATCCAGCTGCCTTCTAATAAGCTAGACATTAAAGACATTTAAAAACACATAAAAGAATGCCACTCTTCTCACTAATGTATTTTGTTTGGGAAAATTGTTGTTTTTCATGAAGGAATATGTGATTTATGTTATGGGTTCATTTTTATTATTTTGAAAGAAAATAAATGATTTTATATTACTTCGATTTTAATTTCTAACATGGTAAATATCGGTAGCTAGAAACCACACCAACAAAAGCTCTTCGAGCTCCATAATCTTTTAGAATGCAAAGCTATCTTGAGACCACAAAGTGTAAGAATCAGTAGTATATACAAGTCAGCTTTAAAATTGACCCCTGTGGGTAAGTGGTATCCCATTATTTAAAATTAACTGAAAATGATGGGCTTTTAAAATCCTTTCAGTATTTATATGATGTAATAAAGATGGTCTCAACCACATTCCAGTCCCCAAGCTAACAACTGTCTCTGTAACAGGCATTGTTCTCCACAGCCAATCATGTGGTAACTTTTCTTTGCCCAGGGATGTATCCAGGGTTACATACAAATTGTCAGCAGGTGATGACAATTTCATCACCTTTTCAGTCACTCAGGAAGGCATCTGAGTGATCTTGTTGTAAGAACAGCCTTAGTTCTTTAATTGATTCTGTTAAACCACTTACAAGCATGGCTATCTCCTTAATGGTAACAAACTACCTGTTATTCAGCTCATGATTAAGAACTACTCTTCAATGTATGCCTGTTAGACACAGAGCACATTTTCAGTTGTCCAAGAATCACTGACTGAAAACCAAAATGACCATACTTCATCACAAAACACCTTCTGGAGATTATATCTTTACAAACTCAGTTCACCAAACATTTGTTGTAACAGATGATTATTTTTATATAGATATTTTAAATCCACCTTAAATGGCATGGATGTGAAAAACTTTGATGGCTTAATGCAATTAAGTATTCCTAATAGTTGACCCATTTACCATACTCCCTCAAAGAGAAAAACAGATTCAGTACTTACAGGACCACCTTCTTCACCAGGGTGACCAGGTAATCCATCAAAACCCCTCTCTCCCTGAGAAAAAATCAAAATAAAAAATTTGGACTCCAAATCTTTCATTTCTCAAATCTATGTGAACTAAAAATGGTTATTAATAGATACCCTTGTTTCACTTAGTTGATGTTTTACTGAGATTCTACTAAATGTGGAGTGTAACACAGAGATGTAGAGACACTGTTGGCCTGTCTTAGAGTGAAACTTGCATACCTGTTTGTCTTTATAGTCCGGGACCCCAGCCTATTTTTATTTTTCTAAAATATCTTTTAAGCCATGCTATTGTGAAAACCAAAGCCAAAACTAGTTTCTAATTAAACATTTCAGGAAGACTATTACTTTAAAGGGGGCTTTGAGCTGGTTTTACAAAATGTCAGTAAACAAAGGTGTTACAGCCCACATTACTTATGAGAAATGGTTGCTTATTTCTGTGTGACTAAACTGTTTAGTCTCTCTTTTTTTTTACTCTTCTTAGATAACTAAACCCACAAACCATTTCCTGTCAAGGAAGTTTGGCTTAACATTTTATAGCCAGAGGTGTTTATTTAGTCTAAAACCTGGTCAACAAGATGTGGGAGCCATAGTCTCCTTGTAATTAACAAAGATATGAAAGTAACATAACCAAGCACTGAATTCTGAGCAGAGAAGTCAAGAATTCAGGACACTCCCATCTTTGGCCTTTGAGGCATGGTCCTCAAGTTGCCCAAAAACATGTCAAGAGATTCCCAGGCTTGATTTTCTGAACCTCCAATCCCATATTTAAGAACAACAAGAGGGGAGAAAATTCTAGTGCTGGGGCATAATTATAATTTATTTTTCAAAAAGTAATTATACACTGTTCAAAATAAAGATTGATCTGCAAAGGCAGGAAGAGCTCGTTCCAACCACCTCATGGGAAACCTTACAACAAGAGAACATGAAAGCCCATGGGTGTGATTCAACCTTACACGTGAATTGGTGATTGATTATACCCCCATCGTAAAGTTGTCGTCCCGTGTGTCCCTGGATAGCTGAGGACCGTTTCTAACAAGATTCTCCCTGAAAAGCATGAAGTGATCTTTTTCCTACCAATCAGTCCTAGAGTTAGGGAAAGTGTCTGTAAAATAAATATAAGTAGACAGCACAATAGGGTGGACAGGAAGTACACCTTGGAGTCAGGGAGACATAGGGGCTTAAATCCCAAAATATCTCTTGGCAACCATGCAACTTTGGGGAAAGTGGTGTTCCCTCTCTGAGTCTCGATTTCACACCTGTAAAATAGGTTGTAAAGAGCACAGAACTAAAAAAGGCATGTTAAAGGCATAACACAGACTGGTGTGCAGTGGATGCGAAATGTCATCTCTCTCCCACACCCCCCCCAACAAATCCTCACCTTCCTCCCAGGGCTTCCACCATCACCTCTGTGCCCATCGTCTCCAAAACACTTTGCATATGTATTGCAGCACATTCTTTCTACAATTGCATCCTGAAAACAGAATCCACATCACATACAATTTTTTTTTTCATCTGTATGAACCTATGTCACATGACACACTAAAGAAACAAAATTCCCTCAAGGTTTTTAAAGTTATTAAAATGTACAGATCTGGTGAAGGATGGTGTCAAAAACAAACGACCACCAGAAATTGACACAACATTGTAAACTGACTATACTTCAATAAAAAAGTAATTAATTAATTTAAAATCTAAAAACAACTTACAAGTTGCTTCCGTAAGATGCT